TACATTCTCTGGCTGTAGTTTGTTAGTATCTTACTATATCTGAAAACTATTCAGATGCAGCAGACATCTTCACAGCAACCCCAGGAACAGCTTCAACAGCAGCAGCAGAACCAGCAGCAGCAACAGAGCCAGCAACAACAAATGCAGCAGGTACTGAAAGTATGCCAAACCTATCATTTCCTGTTCTATTCTTGAACTATGGGCTTTCCCCTGTTGATCTGAATCTTTAAATTTGCCCAACAATAGTGTGTCGTTATGCATCTATTGTTGCTCTTCTATCAACAAATTAAAGTTACTTAAATATAAATTATAGAGCGCACAGTGGGACTGATATGTTTATCTGAGGAAGCCTTAGAAGAAAACTAGATGATGGATGGTGATGTGCACATCTTAGGAATGGTTCTTATTAAGATGCTGAAATGACATGAGATCTTTCATGGAGGAAGCAATAGTTTTCTTGAAAAAATGATTCCAAAAGGGAATGTCACACAGTGATGTGTAAAGAACAGTGCTGGTGGCATCAGATTCAATGGAATATGAAGTTTGGATGCTAAATTATTGCAATTACGCAAATCCTGTCAGTGATGAAACTATAAATCAGTGACAATGGGGTTAAAGCCCTCGGCGAATTATTGATGAAAAAGTTCCGTGATTACATTATCATGCATATATTCATCGTATTCTAATATAGTACAATATGATAAAAGTTGGTGCGATCAGCTGGGGTGTTGTTTGGAATGCCCTGCCCCCTGTTTCTGTATCTGCAATGAACTCCATGGCTTTGAAAGTTAAAATTAGCTTACTGTTAGAACTTCATATGCCACATGTTATTTGCAATATTTTCTGCCTTTGCATATATTTGAGGTCTTTTTGTCCAAATAAGTTGACATAATTTGTCTTTTTTCGTACATTGGAGACCAAATTTGAAATTATGATATGTAAATTTGCATACTGTAAACCTGTAAAAAAGGATTTGTTTTCTTTGGTTGGTGCATACTATATGATCCCTGGCAAGTGGCAACTAAAGCTGAATAGTCGGCTATTTACCCTTTTCTTTATTTCACTGCATGAGTTACTACAAATTTGTTCTTAAGAACCGATATGCTTTCCATTGACCTTATACCTCCTCCTTGTTCTGTAATTATTTGTTATTTCCAGAACAATAGAAAAAGAAAGCAGCCTACTTCTTCAGGACCAGCAAATAGTACTGGTACAGGAAACACTGTGGGTCCTGCCAACTCCCCACCATCTACACCATCCACACATACGCCTGGGGATGGACTTGGAATGGGTGGTAATATGCGCCACGTTCCAAAGAACTTAATGATCTATGGTGCGGATGGAACTGGACTTGCCTCCTCTTCAAATCAAATGGTTACAGCTCTTACTCTCCATTTAAAGTATAAAGTGATTATTATATGCTAATTGTTGTATGTGACAGGATGACCTTGAGCAATTTGGTGATGTGGGCTCTTTGGATGATAATGTTGAATCCTTCTTATCCAATGATGATGGAGATCCCAGGGATATTTTTGCAGCACTCAAAAGAAGTCCTGCAGAGCCTAACCCAGCCACTTCGAAAGGTAATATTTTTTATGTTTCTTTCCTAACAAAATTCAAACATCAAATGACGTGTCCATTTGTTTCTAGGTTTTACTTTCAGTGAAGTGAACTGTTGGCGCACAAGCAACAGCAAAATTGTTTGCTGCCACTTCTCTTCAGACGGCAAGATTTTGGCTAGTGCAGGACATGAAAAGAAGGTATGAAAAAACTGTCTTACATTATGATTTTTGTTCCAAGTGGCACGTTTTTATGGAGCCTCTGATATTTCTGGGACTGACGTACTATATTTTTGTTCATTTGTTGTAGGCTGTACTTTGGAACATGGAAAATTTCCAGACACAGTATACGCCAGAAGAGCATGGCCTTATTATCACTGATGTTCGTTTCAGGCCTAACTCTAGTCAGCTGGCAACATCTTCTTTTGATAGAACTATTAAACTATGGAATGCTGCCGATGTAAGTTATGTTTGCTTGTCCATTATAGGGATCGTAGATATATGCTATTATCCCTCCTATAGTAATGTCACCATTATCCTATTGCAACTTCACTACTGCACCTGCACGCTATTAAGATATCGAGTGTTTCCTTTTAGTATTCATGGCTGCAAATCTAGTTATACTTGTCCATATTGTCACCATGTCTCAAAATGTTGCAAGGCCCAACTATGACGTGATTGAATTGGCATGTAAATAGTATATTTTTTCCTTTTTGTCTTGATCTGCTAATTGTGTTATACTATGAAAATCCTAGTTAAACGCATCAATGTATTGGGTGAACTGTGCCATCTGTGTTACTAAACTTGAACCTTAAGCCTCAGTTTTTTTCTATGCACTTGTATTACAGCATTTCTTATGCTTACATGTTTTGCAGCCTGGATTCTCTCTGCATACATTCACTGGGCACAACGGCCATGTCACATCATTAGATTTTCATCCAAAGAAAACAGACCTTCTGTGCTCTTGTGACGTCAGCGGTGAAATCCGGTACTGGAATGTGACCCAACCTACATGTTTGCGTGCCATAAAGGTTGCTTATATTCCTTCTACTCTTTGAAGTTTCATGAATGTGTGTGTGCAAAAAGAGTCTATGGACTTAGTAACTCGTACTTTTGTCCAATTCTGCCTTATTTGTACAGGGTGGTAGTGCCCAAGTTCGGTTTCAACCTCATGTTGGACAGTTTTTAGCCGCAGCTGCTGAAAACGTGGTTTCCATATTTGACATTGAGACGCATGGGAAAAAATACACGCTACAGGTTCTGTCCTTGAATACCAGCATATCCTCAATTTTTGTTTGAAAAGTCCCCTTGCTACATTTCCTTCACTTGCACCCTGCACATGCGCACATCTCAAATTCCTTGGCATACTGTTGGTATAAGTTATAACTGCGCGACATGCACTTTTTTCTTCTTCGGCGTGTTGGAGTAGTGAAGCTCTTTTTTTCTGGACATACTAGTAATGTTTTTAATAGACGTGAACCTGAAGTACTTGATTTGTAATCTCAGGGCCATAACACTGATGTGCAGTCAGTGTGCTGGGACAACAATGGGGAATATATTGCATCTGTAAGTCAGGACCTAGTTAAGGTTTGGTCAATATCATCAGGGGAGTGCATTCATGAGCTTAGCTCCAATGGAAACAAGTTCCATTCTTGCGTGTTCCACCCGAGCTATTCCAATCTCTTGGTTATTGGAGGCTACCAGGTAACTATGCTTGTCTATTGAATGTATTTCCATCAAACAAATTTTACGAGGAAGTGTATGACGCTGTATTTTGGTACCAAAACTTGTCTATCCTAAGCTCTCTTGGTCATTTTTGCCTCAACTTTATTGACAAGAATATACATAATCCAATACACTTGATATTGGAAAGCAGCTTATTCCTACTCCCTCACCACAAATGTGTGTGGTGTTTTAGAATGGGGCACAGGAATTAAGGTGATAGGTGAAAGGTACATCCTGCAGAAAGTTAATTTAATCCTCTATATAAAGTGCAGTTGGGAAATGAGAGATGCTAAAGGAAGTTAGTTAATGATGGAATTGATGAAGGGTAAAACACTAAAACTTGAACGGATTAGGTTAAATTGCCTAGAAAACTTAGAACCTGATACACTTACTAAATAATGGAGTTAAAACGAGATATTCAGAGGGAACTATTAAAGAAAGAGATGCAATTAGGAGCTTATTAGTGTGCCCTTGGTGTCAAGTTCTGTTAGCAATAGTACTTTACCTTCTCAAGGGACTGGATCTGTAATTTTTTTGGAAGTTTCTCATTAAAATGCTGATGATGCAGTCTCTCGAGGTTTGGAACATGGTGAAGAACCAGAGCCTAACAATACAAGCTCATGAAGGTCTAATCGCGGCGCTGGCGCAGTCACCAGTCACAGGGATGGTAGCTTCTGCGAGCCATGACAACTCTGTCAAGGTGTGGAAATAACAATAACAACAATTATGATGCATCTAGGTAGCTTTTTTTTTTCCCCGGGCAAGTGATATTTCTCCGGCTGAGGCATAAAATGGGGGTGAGCTTGGGTGTCGTGGGCGATTGTGTTGTGTACCCATACTCAGGCCAATAAGGAAGAGTAGTAATTAGCTGGTTGCCTATCGCGGTTCAGCTGTCCAAGAGCAGTGAGTTTGTTGATGTGTAGCTCAGAAACAAGAAAGAAGAATAGAACATTGGCTGAAAAGGTGGCCACCTGCTTTATTTTTGTTTACGCAGTATCATATGTAACCTTTTAACATTCGCTGTTTTTAATTGGAACTCGCTGCGATTGGCATCTGGCGTTTGGTTGGGAAGTCGCGTCTTCTTGCTAGTTGCTGCAGTGTGTTTGAACTGCTTGAATGATGCACTGGTGTAATCCGACTGTTGTAATGCGTGCCTCCTAATTGCAAATTTTGATTCACGACGAATGGAGAAAGAATGATGGTGTCTCTTAGGAAGGATGTGTCTTTTCAGAAAAGAGGATAATTGTGCTGACATGTCATACAGGTGTAATTGTGCTGACATGTCATACATGTGTACTGTGGGTGTGAGCATTCTCGTGCAATCGTATTCTGGTTGCATGTTTGCAATGCACAATGAACAGGATTTTCTTTTCTTTTTCTTTTTTTTAAAATGCTTTGTTTCAATGGATACATAGTTGTTTTTCTTGCTGCTTGTATTTATCCGCCCACTGATATATGCAGTATTATATGTGTGAGATCAATGCACAACATCTGAGCCCACTGCTTTTAGATACATAGATATGCAACTCCCTCGACCAGAAATGATATCTTGGAGATTTTGCATGCATTTAATGAAATGGCTACAAGGCTTTGTGTAGCAAGCCCTATATCAAAGGGCACTCCATAATACAAAAGCAGGGTCGGTTTCAGGGTCGGTTGAGTTCACCAGAGCAGCAAGAACAAAGAACCCAGATTCAGAGAAAAGAAGTGGTGGCGATGCCGACGGCGGTGGCGCCGAGAGCAGCGCCGTCGTCTCTCTTGCCTCTTGCACTCGCCGCCGCGGCCGTCGTAGCACTTGCCGTGTCCTGTTCCGCGACCACGGATGCTCCAGGTAGGCAAACTCTCTCTCCTCTTTCTTCACCGTGATTCATCAGAAGCTACCTTACATCATGTCGTTGCCGTGCATGCAGATGCAGGCCCGGGAGCGGGAGAGATGGTGGTGCGGGACGACCCCAAGTGCGAGGAGATGGTGCCCTGCACCTTCAGGCGCTGCATCCAGTATTGCGTCAGCATCGGGCTGCAGCCCAAGGGGTTCTGCAACTGGAAGCCCAACATGTAGGTCTGCTTGCTGCTGCGTCATGAATTTTTATTTGAAATAATATTATTTTAATAAATAATTGTAGATCTAGATGTTGTTTTTAAAAAATTGCAAAACTAGTGTATCCTATCGGCAATTCAACTGCCGACCATGTCCTATCCATATGGACATTAATATTGCCGACAGGCCCATCGGACAGTGAATTGCTGAATAAACCAGTCGGCCTTCCACAAGCCGATAGGATGATGGACATGTTTTTTTTTCAGAAATGCTATACAGCACATATGTGTTTTAGCGGAAAAAACACATGGATTTTCTGAAGACAATTTGGTTGTTGAGCCGCGCACGAACGAGAGCTGTGTGTACGAGTGCTCAGATCCTACTCTCGCGTTAGATCGTGAGCCAACAAGTGACACTAGCTGCACGGACATGTACTTGCTCAGGCCGGGCGGACGCAAATGGCCCCGGTTGATCCCCGCACCAACCCAACATGTGTTTTGTTTTTCTTATGATCTATGAATCTGTGATCATGTGATTTGTAATTGTCTGGAGGTAGAAGAAGGATGGAGACTGTTGAATTTTAATTCTATGATGCAAAAAAAATCATATATTAAAACTGTATAAAACACTTGTTGGGTAGACATACTCTTTTTTTCACCGAACCTACTGGATTGGACATATCCTTTTCCTTTCGTTTTTTATATATTTCGCATGGCTACCATGGTCCTGATCTCAGCACCCAGGTTGAGGCCATAGGCGTTTCAGGTTGAAGCACCGAGGTTGCTTACAGAGAACAGACATATAAGTTGCCTACATTCCTTATTGTTCATATCTACTCCCTTCGTCCACCAAAAAAGAAAATACAATCATGCTTTTTGAAAAATCAAACGATTTAAAGCTTGACTAAAATTATATAAAAATATACTAATCGCCGTCAAATTCTAGAATAAATCCAACGTTTACTACTGAAATCACAATGTCGTTAAATCCTAAAATAAATATAGGAAAATAGAGTATCCGTGCCAAGTCTAGGACTTAACCCGGATGAACATGTTCGACCATAATGAAGCTAACCAACTGAGCTAGATCAGTTTGCAGTCAAATACTACTAATTTAATTAGTGGTGTGAAAAATGCAGTGTTCATGTTTGCATGTGACCTTATCGTCATGGCCTACTTTGAAATTAAATATTCATCTGAGCGGGTATGCATATAATTGAACATGTGCTTTATTAAGAAACTTAGGATTTTACCTAAGCATATATAGAAAATATGACAAAGTACTACTTTCTGAACAAATTTAGAGGATTTTTTTGAATTTCTGGAGACCGTTTCAGGGCTATAAACAACTTACGTAAAAACTCAAATATATCATTACGGAAAGAATTTTAATTTTAAAACTATAAAAGTAATGATGCTAGACCTAAGCAAAATTGGTTGTGTTTGATTCTTAGTATTTACGAAAAAAATACAATATTTCTTAAGGTGTTTAGGTATTTTATTTGAGATAAAAAAAATGGTGCGTTGCTAGCCACCAGTACAATCGGCCACCCTAAGATCGAGGCTTATCGGCACTGGGTGAGCCGACTGAACCTTTCGGCTGCTGAATTGCCGACTAGTATTCAGCGGCTTACTGATCACCGACTAGGCTTCAATTTTTCGCTCGCCACGTAGCATGTCGGCTTCCCACTAGCCGATAGGTACCCTGTAGGCTTCTGGAAAGCCGATAGGATACTAGTTTTACAATTTTATAAAAGCAATATTTAGATCAGCAATTATTTATTAAAATATTATTATTTCAAAAAAAAATCGCTGCATCATCGGGCTGCCCGCGGCCCTAGCCTAGCTCCTCAACACCTCTGCTAGACTGCTACTGCATGCAGCGATATAGAGATGGAATGAATCGTGCAAGCGTTTGAACGATGTTCCACCGCCTAGCCGCCACAGCTGAGAGCCAACCGCTCATCCAAGTTTTGTCTCCTAGCTAGAACAACTGAACAATGAAGACATCTGGAGGCGCAGACATGCAGGACTTGAACCATCACACGATCAAGAACACGTTTAATTTAGACTGCGGCGCAGCCCATCTCTCTGTCTCTCTCGTTCTGATGACTAGGCTTTGGGCTCATAGAGTTCCATTCTGACCCGCAAAAAAAAAAAAAAAGTTGACAAAATGCTGACTACATATGGTTATCATCAATTTATATTTGACGTTATACAATCCATTCCACTTCATATACAATAAAAAGTTAACATTATTGGGCACACCGGCTACATTTGTTTGAGTTGACATATATTGCGGGCATAACAGTCCATCGCGCATATGCCTACAAGCAGTCAATTAGCAATCAAAACTATAGAAAAATATTAATAGTAGCTTAGCTAATTGGATTCTTTAGAGCAACTCCGGTGTAACAGCAAATCGAACCGAGAGAAAAAGAGTAAAGTTCAATTTACACGCTGCAGGCTTCGAACAGGCAGAAAATCGGTTCACATCTCAGACATGGTTCGATTCCTGAGCAATTGAAACGAATAAAATAATCACGAGGGCAGCATGCATGCAGAGCAATGCAGCAAAAGTCCATGAAAAAAAAAGGCAGCCAATTAGGCTGTTGCTACTTTCAGGCTGAGATACAAAACTACTGTGGCAGCAGCTGCAGCGCTGGTAAGAAGCCAGCTGAAAAGACCCAATGGGACATACAAACCGAACTCGCTGCAGCCAAGGGATTCTCGTCTAAATCGATTTTTGACATAGCCATGTAGTCTTGAACTTATCAACCTAGCTTATCAGTCATGGTACAATATTTTTCTCTCACAACAAATCAACCAACAATACTTTTCAACCTGGCTTTTTAGGAAAGAGAGCTGAAAGAACCCATTGGTACCGTTTGGGTCAAACCAACACTAGAAATGCCCTAATGGTGGAACATGCACATCAGAGTTCAAGTCCTTTACTTGATGCTGACGTGGGTGCTTGTATTTTCTGGTTTTATTCTAAACAACGACGTTGTCTTGCAGTGGTAGACGACGTGTTTGTCTTAATATTTCTGTGTCTCGTGTCCACTATCAGCCTGTTCGTTTCGGCTTATTAGCTCGTATCTGGCTTATAATCCATGGCTTGAACAGTGTTTTTCTCACACCAAACCAGCCAGCAACACTTTTGGTCATGGCTTATAAGCCAATTCAGCCGAAATGAACAGGCTGTATGTAATTCGGAAAAAAAGTTATTGATATTTATATTATTATTAAAAAACTATGTAACCGAAAAAGGAGAATTCCTAAATTATTCTTAGAAGCATATTTTAGAGATTCTTTATTGACTCTATTTTACTAGTATATTTATTTGGTGATATAATTATAGATACTTTTTCTTGGTCAGATTTAGATTAGTTTGGTTGAGAAGAACGGCATGTCTAGCGCCCGGACGCCCACGCAGCCTGCCTCCGTCCGCTAATTCGCCCCGTCCGCCTTGATTTGACCCGCCCCATCCGTCTAGCCCCCCCCCCCATCGCGCACTGCGCGTCCGCCAATTCCTGTAGTACTACTGTAGTCCATCCAAAGACACTACTATATATATAGTAGTCCAGTGTATAATATCAAGCAAAACTCCAGAAGTTCAGCACAGATGTTTGGAAGTTTGGAATGTCTAGAAAATAGGTGGGGTTATTTTAAAATGTCCAGAAGTTTTTCGAGTCTGGAATTTAGGTCAAAAAGTTCCAAGCTGCATAGAAAACAGCCTTCGAAACAAGAAGGAAAATAATATAAAACTCAGTCAAACGAGCTCCAAAAATCGTGAAATTTTGCACACACCTTGAAGAAGTTGTTTCTAAGAGATCTTGTTAAAAATATTGAGCTTCCTTCATCAATCTCACAGATTTTAGGGAAACCTAAGAAAATGAGGAATTTGGAGGAAACTCAAAATACGTGGAGCTCAAGTGAAGAGTTAGTCGAGGTCGTCGGGAGAAGCAAGGAAGGCCTTGCATTGACACTCTTCATGTACTACTTCTTTAGCACCTCCTTGTTCATCTTCCTCTGGTTGGGTTTACGCTTGGTGCAGTCGTACTCACATTTCCCCTTGTGATTGAAGAAGTCATTTTTGTCCTTGTTCTTGGGACAATCCTCGATGAAGTGGTCTGTGTCCCTATACCCAAAACAGCTAGCGGTGTTCCTACCTCACATATGGTTTCATCTGTTGTTGTAGAAGTACTTGAACTTCTTCGTGATCAAGGCTAGATCCTCGTCACCAAGCGCCTCCACCTGCTCCTGTGTGATGGAGACCAAAGATGACAAAGCAAAGCATCCAGGTGAAGGGTTACCTGAAGAACCACTCGGACTCGTCACAAGGGCCATAATTTGTGCAGAGGGGCCCTCAAGTTTAGCTCTAGATTGGTTGTCAATTTCAGTGGACTTTTGCTTGTTGAAAAGCTCATCTATAGTGATTGTCTCATAGTTGGGGGACTCGGTGATAGCTACGACTTTGACCTCCCACACCCCTACGATCTAAAGCATGGAGTACTTTCCAGGCTCTCACATGCATGGTCATTATTGTGTAGCTATGGTTTGTTTTCTCTCTCTTCTTCACGATCGACTAAACAAAGTTCTCATACTCACGGCAATGAGCCTCAAAAGGCTAGGTCTTTACATGAGAGGAACCCTCATGATACTGTTTACACCAAAATTTAGAAAGAAGAACCTAGGAATTCGAAGCTTCCAGGATTGTTTCATCAAGGCATCGATTGGATGAGAATCGGTATCAGCTGATTTAGATGTAACGTCAGAATCAACTATTTTATGGATGACGTCCACAGACGGCGTCAATGGGCTATACTTGACACTACAAGAAATTCCATGATACATGATGGTTTACATGTGATGTATTCTAAGAACAACATGGATCAAAGATGGGTTTAGTTGGACTCCAACAGCCGTCCCATTTACAAGTATCGAGTATATAACAACAAACTTAGGGTTCTGGATCGAGCATCTCCCACCACCAGCCGTCTTTCTCTCGTGTCTCTCTAA